TGGCCTCCGAACAGAAGACGGCACTGCTGGAGCTGCTCAAGATACAAACACACCCTCAGATCTCTGCAGAGATCCGCAGAGAACTGCAAAACTCGGAGTCGAGGGATCTTGAGATTGGGCTCCCTGTTACGGTTGAAATGGACTGAGGACTCAGTCTGGTGTGGCGTATCATCCTCCTCCTCTGATGCAGATGATTCATGGTTCCTCAGCACGAAGAAAACTTTGTTAAATTTAACTTCATTATTCTTCCTGTCCCATGAAAGGGCTGTTTCAAAGGTCACAGTCTACCATTACGGTCTGTCAGGAGCCATGATTCTTTTCCCTACTTGGATGACTTTGCATAGTTAAAGATGCACATCAGTAGTGATGTTAATGTTGTATTTTCTTATCATGAGCCTGAGCTTTTTTTACTGCAGTTGCAGTGCCGTGATTGCTCAGGAATATGAAGACTGGTGTTTGTGTACATTTGATTAAGAGCAACAACTTGGATTAAAAACTAACTGTCAGGTATCGTGTGTTTCTCCATTTTATGTTCACAACTGCTTAAGCTATACACAAGATGGATGGTAAAAAAGGTTGAAAACTTACTTTAACAACCTTGGTATTTTTAAATACAAAAAACATTCTCTCAATTATGTGTTTAATTCAGCAAACAGGCTCATTCATTATTAATTCCACCTGAATGCAAACATTTTAAAGATTGGTGTGTTAAAGTAACTTGCTATAAAAAAATAAATATTTACCAAATAATCAATACCTAAAACAAAAGGAAGATAGTTAATATTAATAAGGGAACACTGCAAACAACTCTTCATAAGACTTTAGCAGTAAAAATGTTAATAAATGACAATATAACTTGTATAAATAGGACTTGGTGTTGCCCAGTTTCATTATTAACATATTCTGGTTGCCGCTCTTCAGCTATATTTGGAGATGCACAGTAATATATTTTAGTTAACCTCAAAGTCTGTGGCGTCTGTATAGGCCAGAGAGCTGCCTCTGTAGGACGACATTGGTGAAAAGTTTTAGTTTTTTCTGATAGAACAAGGTGAAAGAAAGTTCTCCACTCTGATTTAACAAAGCCCAGTTGAGCCCAGTTGAGCCCCTCAAAGGTTTGAAGGAACCAGTGAATCCAGCAGCCGTTGGAGGGCCGTTAGAGGGCCGTTGGAGGACGGTTGGTGAACTGACGCTGTACGGACGTTAGCGGCTAACAGAGCTAGCGCAACGGTCCGTCGACATTTTAATGATTTATCGAAACCCGTATTGACTGCTTCTGTATTTAACTTCGTCGAATGGATTTTTGTGAAGATGGACAGCTTCAAAGTCGATCCTCAGATACAAATGGCGGTGAAACGTGGCGTGATGTGGTCCTCCGGGCGGGCAGCGACCCCGCCGTGACCCGCGACCCCAGGGCACTGCACAACCTGACGGCCATCGAGAAGAGCTGCCAGGTGCCTCCGTACTTCGGCAGAGTCCAGACAGACATCCAGCCGTACATGCGAAAGATACTGGCAGTGTGGATGTTTCAGGTATGCAAAAGTGAATGCATATTTCACACAGCTGTTTCATTTACTCAGAATACAACATATGTGCGTATTTCAGGTGTGTGAGGAGCAGAAATGTGAGGAGGAGGTGTTCCCGCTGGCGGTGTATTACCTGGACTGTTACCTGAGCCGCTTTGCCATCGAGAAGTCCAACCTGCAGCTCCTAGGGGCCGTGTGCATGTTCCTGGCCTCCAAAATGAGAGAGACTGTCCATCTGACCGCCAGCAAGCTTTGTATCTACACGGAAAACTCCATTTCAGTGTCAGACATCCTGGTAACTATTTGATTTTAAAGCTACACATTATATTTGGGATAGCAGAAGTGCAGACAATCAGAAAGTGGAGTTCAATACAGTTTGTTACAAGGAACCACTGTCCCCTCACATGGCAGATATAGCTTTGTTTTAAATGTCCAGTGTGTAACATTTAGGAGGATTTATTGGCAGAAATGAAATATATTATTATTAAGTATGTTTTTATTAGTGTTTAGCCCCCTTTGAATGATCCATGTTTCTACAGGAGCCCAGAATGGACAATACCCTGGCTCTAGATATGGTCTTTCATGTTTTCAGCGGCCTCTGTAGTTTCTCTACACGCTCCTAACAGGAGGGTGAGGCGAGTGGGTTGTAATCTGCAGCTACACCACCAGAAACCCCCTAAATCCTACATATTGCTCCTTTGAAGGGTTTCAAGGGTTGTGTAGACGTTTAGATGCAGTGGCATTATGATGGTGGACTGGTTGAGAGGGATGTGTGTGTTGCAGCAGTGGGAGGTGGCAGTGGTGTCCAGGTTAGACTGGTGTCTGGCCTCTGTGGTACCCTCGGACTTCCTGGAGCCAGTTCTTGACGCGCTCCCCTTTGTTGAACCCCACCACCTTCCAAACATGCGCAGGCATGTTCACACCTACATTGCTCTGGCAGCCACTGGTAAGTTACATTACTACCAACACACAAGACTTTTTTTTTCCCTTTTTCTTTTTCAAATAAACTACAGCAGTGGATTCAGTGCATCAGGAGTGGATGCAGTATTTAAAAAGACGTGTTTCACCAAGTATTTTCTATTGCTCAAGGATTTCCGTGGTTAATTATAAGGCAGTTTTATCATTCCAGTGCAATAAAAGCAGCTGTTTTATATCTCTTGCGATTAAATCAGTGATACTAACATTTTTTTGTAAGAGAATTAACTGTTACTGAAATTAAATGACTTTCTATGCGACAAACAATGGACACAAAGCAGCCATAACTTTGATTACGATGTGTCAGCAGTTCATTTTGGAGACAGAGAGCTGAGTTTGTGTAATCCTGTATTGTCTGCTGTGAAAGACCTGCGTCCGACTATTCAGCTGGCTGATTTCCCACGAATCTCTGTGATGCTGCCCGAGGCAACAGGTCGCAGGGATACAGTCAGTTCGTGCCGTTTTAGATGGACTATGACATTACAGCCCATAAAATTTAAGAGAATTCCTGGCTCCTGACATTGTATCCCATTCAAAAAGGTGTCTGAGCATGGATCGAATGGCTGACTTTTTGTCTCAACAATTCTCCTGCCTGAAGCAATTAGGATAGTGTATCAGATTATCAGGTTTTGGGAAATGTCTGCTTTTGAGTGCTTCCTTTTGTCCATCAGGGTGTGTCTACAATGGTGGCGTCCGTCTAATAGTCTACATGTAGCCTATCACTGTTGCAATAGTCTCTAAGTTAAATGTAAGGGGGGAGTTAATTATTAGGAAATATTAGCTCTCTTTGAAACTCTTTTCATTTCTAGAATGAGTAATCTTCCTCTCTCATCCTCAGACTGCAGGTTTTCAGGGTTCTTGCCCTCCACCGTTGCATGTGCCTGCGTGAGCATTGCCACGCTGAGGCTTAAGTTAGTGGATCCTGCCGTCGCTTCTGATTCGGTTATGAAGTTTTTGGCCAACCTTTTGGTCATTGATCTGGTGAGGGTAATGTTTAACACTTTTAGATAATCTCTCTTTTGACTTTGCCCTACTGTCAACACTGACTGGTGTGTTTGTGATCATTTTACCACCGTGATCAAACTGTTAAATACGTTTTAAAGAGCAACCCCGTGCACACATGTAGCATTGTTCAGATCCAAAAGTCTGCCAATGACCAACTGATGAACTTAAGGTTGTTTTTCTTTTACTCTGACCCTGAACAGAGCTCTGTCCTCCACTGCTATGACCTGCTGGGGAGTGTGCTGGAGCTCAGCCTGCCCTCTGGTTTCCCGGCTAGTGTTTGCAGATCAGCAGCACACAGCTCAGAGGTCAGCTACACTCCTGCTGACATTCAGGATGTTGTATTGACACCAGCGACATCAAGCTAAAACACTCCTCCCTGCCTGAATGAAGAGTGAATTGTACATTTACAGCCATCAGACAGAACACAAAACCTAAATACCAGGCGAAATGTGTCTAAATGCCATTTCTCCTTCATCTTCAATGTTCTTTGCACGTTAATTGTTTTGGAGATCCCTCTGCTAATTCAGTTTGAGAACCTGAGAATTGTTTCAAATGTCCATCCTGTTGCTGCTCGTTTTAAAGTATTTTGCAATTGCTGAAGCAGCTTTGTAAAGTAGGATATGATTGCGCCCTTCATTAGTATTTAGGGCCACATTAACTTTTTTGTGATACTTCGTTAAATTGCACTGAATCCTGTTAGCAGTGTTTGCACCTTTTTAAATGTATTATCGTCTATAGATATGTATTCATATATTTTGCATTTATTGTAAATGTAATATTAACTTTATATCTGGACAGTTCTGAGAGGCTTGAATAGATATTTCTGCACAGCACTGAAATCCCTTGTGACTATAAATCTTTACTGTTAAACTGACATAAGACATTTGTATTTAGGTCAGTAACAACATGAGTCAGCAGTTCTTTGTAGTTTTTTTTTTATTGATTTCCTCATCCCACACAGTCATATAAATGACAAGCCAGTAACTTTGGAAAACATGTTTTTTGTTGTGGTTAAAAGAAAAAAGATATTAATAGACCCTCCTTGTCTTCTGGGACAAGGGAGAGAGGAAACAGTGATGAAATGCCCAAATGCACATTAAAAAAATGAAACGGATACCATTTTAGACTTGTCATTGCATTTTTCCCTCTATGTCGCACTTCAATAATAAATGATGAGTTTATGACACATTAGAAATGACAAGAACTTCCAGTTGAAATGAGATTTCTCCACAAAGTGTGCCCAACTAAAATACAGTTTTTTTACATTCCAGTTTCTGAACAACATGGTTTTGCAGCTTCCTGGTGCAACTGCCTTGTTTGTTACAAGAACCTCAATACTTACATAACAGCCGATAAATAAATTGTATGGTTATCAGGTGTTATTACAGGCACCGGCTTGATGTTCGAATTTAATGCCAAGCATGCCAATCCAATTAAGTAACTCGAGTGCAGCACGAAATTTCATATAGAACTCAACATACTGATGTACCTTTCTCTTTCACCAGGAGGTATTTCATAAAGCAGGATTAGGAAGAAAAGGAATCGGATAACTACAAAAAGTGATGGAATATCTTGCCAGACTTATAAGCATAATAGCATAATTCATATATATAAGTCTATAAGTTCTTTTTAACAGTTTGAGTCTCCACGATGCAACATTTTTAACAGTTAGGATGACTAAACGTCTAATCCAGCTTTATGAAATACTGTACCACCCCAGGTGTCTGGATATTTTGAATTAAAATGCAAAGTTCAATACACCTGAGCTCCATGACTGATCTTGAAAATTCAGTTGAAAGGTTACACATTAAGTGTGCGCCACATTATACAACAGCATAGAACAGTTAGGCTGTGGCTCATGGTTCAAAACACACACAATACTGTTCTTCAAATTTCAACTTGTGACTCTCAAAAAAAAGTATGACTTAATGAGCTGCACCTTCGTGTGAAACTGCCACTTGCATACACAGAGTGATTGGTATCACTGTTTGCTTGGAAGCAAAAGCAGGTTCTACTGGTTTTTGCTTGATGTGAGTCATGATTATGATTCAAGTAATTATCCAAAATTAGAACAAGAAAAAACAACAAACAAAAACCCTCTTTTAGAGCTGAAATCCCCGCTACAAACACGTCTTCTTGGCACTTTTTTCTCGTGCTTTAAGTAAAGATAAACCCCCCAAAAAATCCAAACAACATTAGCACATTTGTTCTTTGGTAACCATAAAGTGTCATTTTCCCAACATGCTAAAAAAAAGAGAGTAAAAGCTGTAGTTATATAGTTAAACAGTGAACCCATGCTAACACTGAACCTGTGACCTACTGCTGTTCTCCTAGATAAACACATGGTAGACAGATGATCCACTATCACAGAGCTAGAATCCTAAAGAGCCATTAAGCCATAAACACTTTCTCCAACTGTCCCGTCGACAATAAAACACACTGACTTTGTGGCTTATGCAATATTCAAACAATAGTCCTACTGTGACTGTAAAATGTTTCCTAGTTTATTGTCACTGAGCAAAAACAGTTTCTTCTTGACATTGAAGACCAGCGTTTTGGTTTCAGGATGACTTTTTACGTTAACTACACTTTTGACAGGAAGCTCTCCTGTTGAAAATTGGAGCTCCTGATTGACCGACAGCAGCTCTCTTCTTCCTCCTGAGAATCTTTGAAATGGACATTTTCAACTGCAACACTGTTCAATCATTATTTTTGTAAAATACTGTGCCATCTGGTTATTTTTTTTAAACCTCAAGCTATTCATAAACTCATTTCAGTATCACTGATCAATCACCATCTAAAATACAATCAGATGTTTAACAAGAAGCCTGCTCCCTTTTTGGTGCTGTGCAATTCAAGTTAGCCAAAATGATCATCACTACGGTGTGCTGGTAATTTCACACAATGCACTTTGGCTATCATGTCTTCAGTAGTTTACAGTCATTTAAGAATTCTGAATGAAAAACGATTCTTTAGTCAGTGTATGTAATTATCGGCCTTCAGCTTGCTGCAGAGCCTCGTATGACCATGGCCTGTTTGTAAGCCTCAGTCACGTTATCACAGTCTGTGATGGAAAAGGCACTGTCAGCCACTCCAGACTTGTAGCAGTTCCAGGGCCTCAGCGACCCGTCCCCAAGAATCCCGTCTTCTTGGATGTCCAAAAGGTTGTCGGCAGACACGCATCCTCTCATGCTGGCCCTGGCTGGTTTATCCATGTGTGTTGGAGGTCCTACTCGGTCGGGCAGATCCAGCTGGTCGAAGGACTCCGAAGACAGAATGCTGTCCTCGCTGATGGCCCCGCTTGGTCTCGACCTGGTGCCTCCGCGGGGTAAAGAGGCTGCCAGCTGGTCCAGAGAGCCAAACTCCTGCAGACCGCCTGAGGAGAACTTTCCATTGCGCTTCAAGATGCCTTTCCTGTAGGTTGGTGCTGAAGGGCACTCTTTAGTTTGTGGTGCCCAGCCAGAGTCACTGTTCTCAGGAGAGGACGAGTAGTACCCTGACTCTTGTTCTGTGGGCTTCTTTAGGATACCTTTGCGAGGCAGCAGGGCAGCTGAAGGGGCATTGGCTGGTGCAGACAAACCCAAAATGTTCTGTGAGTCCGCTGAACCTGCAGCAGAGGTCTCGCTCGTTGCCTTCTGCTTCACGCTGTTGCGTCTCTTTAAAATACCCTTAGATGGGCGACTCTCTGAGCTCGCCTCGTGAACGGTCTGGGAGACATTGTTTTCCTTTCGGGACCTTCGCAGAGAGCGCTGCCGGACCACATCTCCTCCACCACCCTGTGAGCGGAGCAGACAGCGCATCTTGGAGCCGTTCTCCAGTAGAGGCCTGGATGTGCGGCGCAGCCAACTAGCAACGCTAGCCAGCCCAGCAGGGTGTGACGTTGATGGCGAGGCCGGTGAAGCGCTCTGCTCTGCTGGACTGCTTTTTGTCTCATCCAGTAATGACTGCTGGTAGCCCCAGTTGAGCCACCAGTGTCCTGCAATCTCCTCTATTGTGGCTCTGCGCTCAGGATTTACCATTAGCATCCAGCGGATAAGCCCACATGCATCTGAGAGAGAGGAAAAAAACATTTCTTGTGCTCAGCTGAGAAAATCAACATTACTATCAAATAAGGTTGATAAACAAAGTATAAACACCAAAACAATGTTTCAGACCTTTTAAAGAAAAGACTCACCAGAAGGGTTGTTGGGTTTACGGTAGTTTCCAGTGCTTATCTGTTGGACCAGTGTCTTGTGGTTGTGTCCATCGAACGGCATTGTGCCGTGAACCATAGTGTATAACAGCACACCAAGAGACCAAGTGTCCACCTCTGGCCCACGGTACGGCCGTCCATTGACAATCTCCGGGGAAGCATACAGAGGGCTGCCGCAAAAGGTTTGAAGATACTCATCACCGTGGTAGAGGTTCGACAGGCCGAAGTCTGCGATCTGGAAGAACAAGAAGTAGACGTCATGCTGAGCCCCGTCAGATGTATCATCAGATTGCTGTAACCTAAAGATTTCCATATGCATCACTATCTCCTCATCAGTTACTCATACCATGTACTACTCTGATTTCACATGTTAAACATTTCATAGTGAATCACCTTTACACAAGATCTAGTGCAGCAAGTAATGAAAATCTGACAATAAGATTTCTTGGTAATAACCACCATTTGCTGTACATAATATGCCAACAATACTTTCGATACTTAATGATTATTAACCCTGTTTGTAAATGTAAAGGTTTGTAAATGTAAAGGTGTGGGAATATTCATTTTCATGTTCAGCATGTCTTTTATTCATACCTTCACGTTGCCGTTGCCATCTAGTAAAATATTCTCCAGTTTCAGGTCCCGGTGTACTATCCCATTCTAGGAAAAAAAGAAGATTTTTTTTTACAATAATTCCTCCACCCAGTAAATTAGACACCAGTTTATTGGAAACTGTCTATATTACATAAAAAGGGATTAGTTATTTTTTTACTGGGTCAGAACACAGATTTTTTTCTGGTACGTCAGCTATGCTTCATTGTCCTCCACTCTGTAGGGGGGCATGCCTTTGACTCGGCAGAGTTTGAGTTTGTTTTCCTTTAAAAAATGCAGGTCAGCTACTTCTTGTCTATGGACACTTCCTTTAGCGACAGACATTCTTTGTAGGTTGTGTTATGTAGAATTAAATGTATTGTCAAGATGCATTCATAAAGAAGCTACTGCATGCAATACTTAAGAATCCATCACCGTATTATTCATAAATCATAAATCACAAAAAAAAAAGGGTTTCGATGTCCTGGCTTCAGCATGGAAAATTAAATATTTAACAAGAAATCAGCCTTCAATAAAAGTGAAATAAGACAGGTGGTCAACACAGAGTATGACAGGGCAATTCACTCTGTAAATATTGTATAAATGCTCTGCAAAGTGCTGCACACAAAATACAGTGTACTGTAAATGTTCGTAATTACACAGCTCTGGACTACAGGAACAACTGTGTGTGTGTGTGTGTGCGCAGAGCCCTTCTGTTCCATCACACCCTCATTAGAGTGTGAGACCATGCGTGTGTGTCGGGACGGATGGCCTTTAGCCCTAACGCTAGCTCTCCACAAACCAACTGTTCAGTTCCCCCCGCATCGTTCTCACAGCCTGCCTGTTCAGAACAGCAGGCTGACAGTGAATAATGCCCATTATGTAACTTTGGGGGTGCCAGTGTCCTGGAAAAACACAACTAGCCGAGCAGCCAGTCTGAGTGGAGCTCTGTGCCATTAGGTTTGACGTAGCAGCCATGCATGAAGAGGGCTAAGACTCTCTGCCCTGGTACAACCTCGGTACAACTTTATATGAACTGTATGAAAGCTTTGCAGTATTTACCTGATGGCAGTAGTGCACAGCTGATACAATTTGCCTGAAGAAGTGCCTGGCCTCGCGCTCAGAGATGTTCCTCTTGTCACAGATGTAGTCATACAGATCCCCTCGGCTGGCGTACTCCATCACAATCACAATTTTGTCCTTGTTTTCGAATACTGAAAGATAAAAAAACAACAACATCACAACCCATTTTATTCAAGATTTTAAATCCAATTCATCACCAAAATGGAACCGATATTAATTGTACTGGACTGTGCAGAGCCTTTTACAGTACCAACATGTATGGAACTTGTTTTAATGAAGGACGTGCTTGCATTTAAAACAGATTTCTATCTTCCCGTACAAGCCCTAGTTCACACTAATTAGGATACACGGGGCCCCAGGGTGACTGTATTGCATACAGACATGCACTGAGGTGGAGAAACACTGAACGATGACCATCTCATCAGGCGTCAGGGGCACTGGAAGACACGAGGCTCTGCACATTATCCTGCAGCGCTGATGAGGTAAGTCAGGGTACCAAAGCTTATGTAACCTAGCATCGCTCTTCAGCACAAAGACTTGCGTGACCAAACTCTGACTCTCTAACAGAGACTGATTGAGAGACAACTTTTTCCAGGTATCACGTTTCACTCCGCGTGTGGCCCAGAGAGTGAACAATGACACTAAAACCAAACACACACATACAAAAAAGAAAAAGAAAAGCACTGATCACTAAAGTTTAAATGTCGTACCTTCATATATGGTGATGATTTGTGGGTGGCAGAGTGTGGACATGATCTCAATTTCTCTGCGTATATGAACCAGGTCTTGCTCATCCTTGATCTTCTCCTTTCTGATCGACTTTATGGCAACCTGAAGAAAGAAAAAGAATATTTGACTTTTGGTCAAAAATGTATTTTACTTTTACGAGACAGGTAGTTAATTCAAATGCAGAGTTACAATTCACTACAAAAAAGTGACAAAAGGTGATTGCAGAATATTGGTAAATATTAAATATCAGTGTAGCTGGAGCATAAAAACAGAGATGAGTCATTGAGTCAGTAAACAGACTTACTAATGTAATATCAGTTACACAATATTTATCTTCTATGGTTTGCTAAGATTTCCCACTTTGGGCAAGTTATGATTGCAGCATCAAAACTCCTGAGTGTCATAATACATGGAAAGGTGTGTTTTATTTCTTATTAATTCATTCTTACTTCACTAGTAAGAAGAATGTTGTTTATTATTTCAAAAGTTACATAATCTCACTTTAATGACAAAGGAAACAAAACAATAGTGAGCAGATACACTGCAGTTGCATAGGGGTCAGTACATTAATATGCTGGATTAGGCCTGGTCTGTTAAGCAAACGTTAAAAAAAAACTAAACATTCACAAACATGTTATTTAATAAGAATTGGCTTCCATCTGAAGGTCATCCTCTTGTGAGAGGAACAATGGGCAGTGAACCGAAAACTCGGCCATGTTGTTTCTAACAAGGCAAGAGGGAACGCCGGGTCAACGATTATCTGCTGTAAAGACATCTATTGTCTGCTCTTCTGTCTGGGAGACTTGTAGAATAAGGACATTTAAATCTGAATAGTATCTCTGTACCTGTCACATACGAGCCTCTGACTGTATACATGTCTTTATGTTTGGTTGGTCTATTTGAAGCTCAGATGCCTGGAATTCCTTTGTGCACCGAGTGCGTCATCAGTCTACCCCAACTTTGAAGGGTGTCATGAGGCACCAGTAATATGGGTGGTGGGGTGTCCTTTTTTTCTTTTCCTTTTTAACTCTCGGGGTTACAGACAGGGGGGAATGACTAAAGCGGGGACTTGTTGTCTTAGTTTCAACACTCAACCGTCTCCCGTCATGAGTCACTGTCTGGCCCTGGATCCTCCTTTAGGTCTGCACTGTATTCACACCGCACAGACCTCTTTCCTGATTCTGAGAAATGAGTTTTCCTGTGTGTGTTTGCATAGCTGTCAGATGGACTGAACTCACACTCATGATGAGTTCACACCACTGTGCGGTTATCTGTGTGTGTGCGGTCTTTGTTTCTGTCAGCTTGCTCCACGCAATCCGCACTTAGGTTGAAATCTTACATATTTAACACCGAGATCTTGTATCAACAGAACCACATTTTTGCACTTGAAAACAGTAAATGTGAAATAATAGAGGGTCACTGTGATCTAAGGCGTCTGCCACAGTTGAGAAATTGAAGAAACACAAAGGGCATCTTGACTCCTGTGGTATTCTGAACAGAAGAGGAGTGACGTGGGCTAAGGAACATTGTTACTACCTGCAAGTAATACCACGAAACAGTTGGTGTTACAACAGAATTAAAAAAATTGGACTTGTTGGTGAGTAAACGTTAGGTTGATGGTTAGAAACGTATTATTAATTCATATATTGCGTATACTTTTTTTTTGCTCACATGTCATTTGTAAAACGGTAATCAGTTGTAACCGTTAGTTGCTGCCCATGTAGAGTGACCGCGTAGTTATAAGTTATTAATCAGCATTAACCCTGACAACAGGTCAGGCAAAGCAATATTTTAGTGGTTTTAGGAAATGTACTGGTGCAGCAACAACATTATTTTTACATTACGACTTAAAGCTCATGAACACACCAAAGTGGGAAGAACGACTCCCAACTTGGGAAATGCAACCTTCTGAGGAGTCTGTGAATGCAGCATTTGCCTTAACGGAGGTTTACTACGATTTACACATGAATTAATAAAAACACAGTGCACCACACAAACTACTTTCTAACGTTACGTAGAGATCGTTACTAAATATTTACATCCAGTAACGTTCATGTGTCGCTGCTAATTCTAGCTTGCTAACATGTAACCTGCTTTGAGTGAAGAGCAAAAAACAGATTTGTAGGACATTTTTTGACTCAAACATTTGATAATGACTGAAGATAATCGTTACCTACCGATGTTTCCCAGCAAACAATTGACACTCCTTTCTAAAGTTTTAATTGTGCAACACTATGTTGAGAATAGCTGCTTCTAGGAACCCACTAACATAGTAATGGCTTTATGAATAGCCGGTGCAACTCAATATAGGCACTTGGGGTAATTGGGGTGTCCTTTCCGACACACATGTAGCACACGTCATGTGTGAGGTTAACCGTACATCGCTGCATGCTGAAACCCTCCTCCTTAACGGGTTATGTAATTAAACTTGTGCATTTAGACAATGGGAACAGCTGTAGTGCCAACGCACGCAAGATGAAGCCATCCTTTGTGTTGTGTCACTCCCTGTGTCAGGTTACATATCTCTGTCCATTATGTTGTCAATGCTAAAAAGGTAGGTAGATAAAAACAAAGCCAATGAATGTTTCTCTCACTTCTGTTGTTTAAGCCATCTTTGTGTAGAGCGGATGACTCACAACATACATTTGAGCTAATCGGGGTTTTGATAGTTGAACACGGGTTTGAGGCACGGGGATTAGGAAGCTGCCTGAAGGGATGAATCTCAGACACCAACTCATAACCTATAAAAACCAAAGAGCGGCAGCAGCAAGCCCCGTCAGACAGCGTAAGGTCAGTTATGTGTGTGTAGACAAGACTGGACTTGTGTCAGAAGGGGAATTCCTCACACCGACATAACAGGAATGATTTCTGATAAACAAGACTTGGCAGCTGAGCCACGCTTGCTGACAAAGGGAGCTCATTTTTAGGCCAAGTATCGTTTTATTTTTTTTTATTGTTGTTGTTACTTGATGAGTCACTATATCTTATAGCCATCTGCCTGCAAAAAGTGGAAAAACGCATTAAACCCCAGGTGTGCGTTTTGTTTTTGATCATTTGCCTATAATGTACACTTCCTGATTAAATGTCAGACACATTTGCTTATGGAAACAAAAACAAATGGGCCAGCAGAATGCAAATGATCACGTGTGGAACACCGTTTGTAGTATGTGCACAAACGCACACTCAGTGGCCAGTTTATCAGGCACACCGAGCTCAAACAGATGCAGTCTAATGCAGCAGTCCTGCGGTGAATCCCGACCTTATAGTTTCGTTTTTGTTGAAACTGATTGGTCTTGGTGCTGATCCAACGTTACGGTCATCCTGTCGGCTGCAGTTAGCTGTGCTGCATTATACTGAGGTGTTTGTAATATTTCAGTATTAACAGGTACATTAATCCTTTCATTTCTCCTCCGGGGGATCAAAAAAGGAACATCTTATCTCATCCATTTGAGCGTCTAGTGAAAACACACACACCAGCTCCTCATTGTCCTTTTTAAAGGCTTATCTTTATATAAATACCTCCCTTTTCCTCTTTCGGTCATGGGGAACTGGAATCCACCTGGAAGGCTCGAGAAACGCAACTTCCCCCTCTCCCTTAATAGTTACCTAACTTTCCTGTTCAAGTGACTTTTCAGTGAAACGCCTTTTCCTCATGCTTTTTTAACGCCAGTAGGATGTGACTGCATGGTGTACAGACAGATTTATGGGAGTCTATTTTTGCTTCAGTCTTTGTAGGATGATCTCAAACATCAGTTTTGACTATGTGGAATTATTTTAATGTAGTTTACACAGAGGGCCAGTGTTGTGTGGATTTTTCAACCCTGTTAAGAAACAGAAGTATCCACTCAGATGAAGGTGCTGAAAATAAAATGCTTTGGATTATGATTATTATAAGACATAAAAAAACCAGCTCATTCATTGATTGAGTTCAGAAACCAGTAAGTAAGAGTAACTCCAACACCAGTAGTTTGGCTGCTGAAACACTCACCTCTTTTATTAGTTTACAGTTCAGTATTATGGCTCCCCATTGTTGTACAGGGAGAAACTTGTAGCCAAACCTGTATAGTAAATTGCCCCAAAAGCAAACTACCTGTGTGCACTTCTAAAAATAGCACTGTGATGTCCAAACAACAGGTGGCCGATGGGACAGTAGAGCAAACAGAGCTTAATGCTGACTGCAGATGTGGGCACCGTGCATAGAGGCATTACAACTAACCCACATAGTAAATAATAATAATAATAATAATAATAATAATATAAAAAATTCTTACCAGTCTACCGGATCTTTCCCTGGCTTTCTTGACTTTGCCATATGTTCCTTTCCCGAGGGTCTCCAGAAACTCGTACCTGTGCCTCAGGTTGTGCTTGTGGTGGTGTCTCTTCACGGCTTGTTTTTTCACGGCCACCTGAGACGGAGCTTTCCCGACACTTTCATCGGGTGAAACTCGGCCCACAGACGGCCTGCGGTTGGACGAAACCCGGGTTGAATGTAAGCCGTCCATCCTCACACTGTTGTCGGTTTTTTTTTCGGGTATTTTCGGACGCAGGTGTTGTTGTTCACGTGCATTCCTTCGCGCGGAGCCCTGTCGTCGTTTGGAGCAAGTTGCTTCAACCAAAGTTGCTCAGGTAATAATAATAATAACAATGAAAGGTGACTGCTCCGCCTGAGGCTGTCCGGTAGGTTGCCACGACTATTACTGACGTTTAGAGGACCGAGGGGAGAGTGTGTGTCTTCTCCGTGGAGCTCAGCCCGACTAGCAGCAGCAGGTACACAGCGTGCAGAGACCCGAGCGGACCGGGGCCAGCAGCCGGACACGTCACACAGCCGAGGGGCGGTTCAGGTGCGCAGAGGAGCGTTTGATTCTGTACACCGGGCGGTGCCGGTACCTGTAACTTCATAGGTTGAGGGCGGGTTGTTTGTCACACCGTTTAAATCTCTTTGTGTTGTTTTTTTCTTTTTATTGTTGATATGTGTTTTTTTTTTATTGTATGTTTTCAAGCCTCCAATTCAGCCTGTATTTTAGTTCAATGTTGTGTTGTACTTGTAGTGTAGTTGTTATACACTATACTGTGTGATAGTAGACTGCTTTATTAGTAGCTGTAGTGTAGGGCTGCATGATATGGTAAAAACATCATAAAGTGATTATTTTTGACAGATGTCGCGATATGAATAATGATTAGTGTTGATGTTTGGATGAGGTGAAGTTTTTTGGGACTATGTACTAAAACAATCTGGAGAATAAGATTTGTAGACCAAGGTATCTCTTCAGAACTACAGTTCATCATTATAATGCTGTTTTTTTTCCACATTTTACTTTTATCAAAAGCTCATGCGATTTTGATAATGCACTTGGCCGTATTGCGATTTTAAAACATAACATCCAGATCACCGCCATGACTAGAAGCGAGATAAATCAGAACAAAACTACCAGCAGATATTCAACCTGCATCGAAATAAATGTCCTTCACCTTGACGAAACAACAAGTCCGAAGACATCTACTCTACAACAATGCATTCGCCACCAAGTAACTTCATTAATTATTAGCACCTTCCAATGTAAAATAATATATAGAAGTAATGTATATCGGGCACCCGGATTACGACCCGCACATCGTCACAAGGGCCTTTTATGTGCCGAGTTGAGTGCAGACACCTATCTACTATTTGGATCATGTAAGGTACATTTAGGCTATAACTCTTACTAAGCAAAATAACGTCGCGCTGTCCTGGAGATACAATACTCGGCTGGGTTCCGTCGTTTCCACCATAACAACTGGATCAGCTCCCTTTACAACACTGTGGATGTATTCAAACGATGTACGTGGAAA